TCAAATGAAAGTAAATCAGGCTGTACACAAAAGTTTGTAACTTGTTCCTGAATGGGATGGGAAGGCGTTTATGCAATGTTAATACTAATGCCATTGGAAATTACAAGATTATTGGGGCTTAGATCAGTGGCTCATGCTTTGCATTCAGAAGGTCCCAGGTTAAATCACTGATATCTCTAAGCAGGTCTTGAAAAAAATCCAGCCTGAAACCTTAGACTGCTGTTGCCAATCAGTGCTGGCCATACTAGGCTAGATGGACCAATTAAGCAAAATGACACATCTTCTAGCACTTCAGTCCTGGAAGATCATATCCCAACCCACACAGTCAGAAGACTGTAGCTTGCCAAAAGGAATATAAAACCCAATCTTTTCTTCAAAATACCAGAATAATAGCAGTAGTCCACAGTGAATACATTTTATAAACAACAACCCTCTTGTAAAATCCATTCAGATATCCTAATCCTGAAGGAGGTATTGGTTATGTATACAAGTACAGAAGAAACCAGGGGTTGGCAGCTTGTGGCCCTTCAGATTTTTGGCCTACAGCTCCCATGATGCTTCATCACTGTGTGTGCTAGCCAGGACTAATAGGGGTTGTAGAACACAACACACGCAGTATAAACCTAAAGAAAATGATTAATTTGAGAATATGATCTAGACATGAATTCCTATTATTTGTCATACAGGCTTCAAACCACAACAGCAAATAGAATTCCTCTGTTTCTGTTCTTATTGATGTAAACATTCCACTGACTACAAAAGAGAATTCTATCTAACCAGACTTACTCTAATGCTTTCTTCACAAGCAATGCCAACAAAAAATTACAGTACTTTTGTATATCAAATTGACCCCAAATCTATCAAGTATGTGAACATTCTAGTCCTGTTTGTGACAAGGAAAGCAGCTGTCCTTTGACAGATAAATGCAGAACAAGATATTGATGGACATGTGCAAACACTTTAAACACAACTGGTCAACAGTATTTCTGCTTGAACAATAACCCCATTTTTATTACATAACACAAAACTGGTCTTAATATTCTTGAAGAAACCTATGTTCAAAAAAGCTTATGCCAGAATAAATTCATTAGTCTTTAAACTCCACAAGACTCCTTGTATTTGCTGCAACAAACTAGCATGAATTATTATCTATATTTTGTTGTTAATTTCAATTATTAACTGCCCTTCTTCTAAGAACACTTCAGTGAGAGAGAGAGCATCATGCCCAAAGCCAAATGTCTATGAAGACAGTAAACAAAAATTTGAACCTGCATTTTATCATCAGCTGTGACATTCTGGTCTTTCTTTTCCCTTTAAAAACTTACAGACCAAATGCACTGATGCTATCTGCCAAGTTAGGGTTAAATCCTTTGCAAGATGCTAGTGCAAGCAGCTGGTAAAATCCCCCGTAAGCATTTGCTTGCTAGTGCAACAGGCAGTACAGTTCATCTGACTCCTAAGCAAACTCAGCACACACAATGTATTATTACTGATTACCTTGCATGAGGGAAGGTTATGCAGGGAATAACTATAAGAAGGGACAATGGCCATACAGGGTTCCTATTCAGTAAGGGTGCTATCTGTAGTAGCTTTCATTTGAAACCTTTCCTGGCAGGGGATGGTCAAAAATATTATCTTTGGAAAGGACATCTTATCTCTTCCATTTTGTCTGAAAAAGAAGTTTAATTTACATATATGGAATGCAGCATCCATGCATATAAAACTTTGACATAAAATAAGCCTGTTTTCAGAGTGGCTACTGATTAAAATAATAGGAATGCCTTTCTCCTTTTACAAGCTCATGACAACTTATCACAAAATGTTAAAATGTTGAAACATTTCTAACATTCAACTGAACTTACACATGCTGTTTCTTAGCATGTGTTTTTCTGCACCCTTTGGGAATATGTCTTTCTTGCTTATAAATCCAGTTGATTCAATATAATGAAACACAGTACTAAAAAACAAAGAGATGATACTCAGGTAATAGTTGGTATAATGTGGAGCTCTAGTGGTGGCAAAGAAGAAAAGCAGGATATGTAACATATGAAGTTAGTTGCACAAAGAGGCTATGCCTGAGCTTGAAAGTAGACCAGGAGTCCCTGTTCAGCAATCGTTTGTTAATGATACACATTTGTTTAAGTGATAACTATCAATGCAATATTAGCAATATGAGCAGAAGTACTATGAGTATTAGTAGTACTGGGTGAAATATTCAAAATGATGTAGTATTATCAACTGGTATTACGGCTTCAGTCTCAAGAAGAGATGATCTCATATACGATCATGAGACTGAAAAGAGAAGCAGGGTGTGCCTAGTAACATATATTCTGAACAGACAAATTAACCAAAGCCTGATAAAATATTTGTGAATTCCAGCTAGAATAAAACTCACTCCTGTATTACTTCTGTGTTTGCAAATTTTGAATATGGGTTATGCAGAACACTTTTTAGACATGGCTGTCAAAACAATGTTCAGTCCTGCTTTCTTTTTTAACTATAAGACTGCTTAATTCTGCTAGGGTAGCATGACCTGCCATGTAACATTTGCTTGTTTGTTTGGGACAGCTGAGTTTCAAGAAGAGTTACATATAACTTGCAAGTTTAGGCTTCCAGCAATTTGAATGTTAGCTGGCCAGTAAATAGAACTATCACATTTCTTCTGTATTTTTTTCTTCTTCTATAGGACCAACAGGGTTACCAAAACATGTGTCTCTCTTTGGCTTCATTCCAGCTAGATGTCGATACTGTTAAATAAGGAACACAAATACTGATACTAACCATCACAGTTAAGGCTACTTGAGATTATATTTTCAGTATAGCCCAAGTGCACATTTAATAATATAAAGTATGAATTTTACAAACATGTGGTTTTATATATGGGTAACATGCACAAATATACTTCAACAAGACACCAGAACTGTAGATTGCTGATGACAGCCTGTTCAGTGGAAACATAATTTGCCTGTTATGTGTGAAATGGCGCTCAGTTCTTAAGTTAAGGCAAAGATGACCAATTTATGGCAACCCAGAAGTGTTGGCCTACACATCCGATGTGCCTTATTTAGCATAGCTAATGGTTAGGGAGGCTGGGAGCTGTGGCCCTTCAGATATGTTAGCCTTCAAATTGCCTAGCCCTGCCTAAAACCCCTGAACAGATTGTTGTGCTGTTTACTAGGAAATAGTCCAGGCCTCATCTCCAAGTATCCTCATCTCCAGGTATTACTCTCCAGGTAATATGGCCAGTTGCCATGATGAAGCCAATGTACAAGCAGCTTCCCATCTGCAGGCACTGTAGATGATCACATTAATGCATGGCTCTCTGCAGGTGGGGCCAGGCAACATACCCAGGTAACATGCCTGTTGGCAGGGTCACAAGTGTGGTCCTGCTGTTCCCCAGCAGCCACATGAGTGACCTGTGAAAGGCATTTAAGTTTTATGGGTTTCAGCTGTGTTGATTACCAGGTTAAGAGACCTTCCTTCTAATAAGTACCCAGCAAGCCAACAACTTCTCAAACCTCCAGATAGTGAAACAGCTTATACATAGTTGCTCATCTTTAACTTAATACCATTTTAGCTAAGGTGTGTACCATATATAATTACCTGCAAAAGCATCTTATTCTGCAACACACTCTGATTTGAAGATGCTTGAGGAAAAACAGCACAACTCCATAACTTCTAAAAGCATGCATGCTGCAGAAAAACATATACTAAGTTGCCTAAACAGTATACCCTCTACACACAAAAGACAGGCAACATGGAAATCAATTTTACCACATATTATTGATGCACTTTTCAGAGAATTCATCCTTTCAAAGTTTGGTTGCAAAGAACTTCAGGTGAAGTTGATGGATTTCAGTAGTGAACTCATATTCCTTGGAATTATATACAGCCCAGTCACTTGGTAAAATATGTCTTTATAATGATGAAGGAAACAGTAACCCAAAGTTTGATGCATTCTTTAATGCAAACTGAAACCAAACACTAAAATTATTTTTCGATCTGCTGTTTGAACTGTCTGATGTGCTTAACATATTGCTTTCTTCAGAAGAGCTAGGCAACAGCAGAGAACAGCCACAGAGGCAATCCTATCCTATAAAATGTCAGAATGTATAATGTTGCTTGTAAATGCAGATTTAGTTGTTATATTTCTATACTGCCTAATAGCCATAGCTCCCCCTCAGAAATACCAATGTCATCCTCATTAAGTCCATTCACCTGATATGTAAATCTTTACCTGGAAGCAAATCCTACTCATTTGAATATATCTTATTTTAAAATTGGTGGATTGGCAGCCCAGTTCTACTTACATTTCCTTGAAAATAAGTCCCACTTAATTTAATGGAGTTTACTAAACAAGTGTAACAGGATTAGAGCCTTGTAACCTTCATTGAATGCATGTTGAATCAGAAATCAGCTAGATTCTATAGGGTTTGCAGTCAAACAGCTCTGCAAAGGATTTCAATCTCAGAATATAACCCAACATATTTCTATTCTGAAAAAACATGGTAGGAATGTTAGAACCCGATTGAATTCACTGGCATTTAAAGCCCAATTGAATTCACTGGCATTTAAATTTAGTAAGCATAGCTATGATTATATCGCACTGATTAAAACTACTTAAAGCCAAGATCTTAACAGATACTGCATGGAAGAAAATGCCACTGATTTCAATAACCATGTTTCACATATATGTTCATATATTTAAGGCTGCCATATATAGTGCAATTCTATACGTATCTACACAGAAACATATTCAAGAAACTTTTTTCCAGGTAAATGGGTACAGGATTGCAGCATGTCTGAGAATCCCTGAACCTCCAGAAGACAAGAGCTAACTTTTCCCCCCCATTTTTCTGTCAAATCCTTGTTCAACACTATCAGCTTACCAAAGGAATGTCTCAGCATTGTATTCAGTATACCTCAACACTGAACGTGCAAATAGATAAAAGCAGTGCAAAATTTGTCTAAGAAAACGTTTCCATGCTGTTCCCAATTACCTGGTGGGCAGTTACATTCTGGAAGTGCTTCTCTTGCTATTCTGATTTTTGCCATATGCTCATAGGACTTCTGTTGGGAAGAGAAAGGATGATAGAGAATTTCGTAAGTCATGTGTTAGTCCTTGGAGGTAGAAACCAAATACGAGGGCTGGTGTTAAATGGATTCTCATTCTCTCTCTCTCTCTCTCTCTCTCTCTCTCTCTCTCTCTCTGTGTGTGCATGTGTGCGTAATCATGATTTACTGCTATTTCATAACCTACTTAACTTACAACAGCATTCACACTTGGATTTCAGTCAACTTGTATGGCTTGTTCACTTTGACAATACCTGATGGCTTATATAGTTTCTCTCTCTCATTCTCTCTCTCTCTCTCTCTCTCTCTCTCTCACACACACACACACACACACACAGAGAGAGAGAGAGAGAGAGAGCGCACACAGAAAATGTGGGCTTTTCTTTGCCTCACCCTCACATGTTGTGCCTTGCTCATGTGAGCACCATCACCCACTCCTTCCCCCAGCATCTGTAAAGGACACAGTTCATTCAGGAAACCTGATTTGGGGGTGAATATCTGTAAATTACAGATGAGAGAGCAATGAATATGTTATACACAAAGGTCAAATGGTACCACTTCATAGGAGCGACTGCTGCCAACTGGATTCTCACTTCTGCCAAACGGTGTCTGGGGACCAGTCCTGGCAGCCCACTGAAACTTGGATCCACACTTTACAGCCACACATCTGCACAGACCTCTAATTGAGCCTAAGACTGGGAACGTTTTACTCATCCAAAGGCTCTCCGTAAAGCATTTTAGAGCCACAGGATTAATCATGAATTAAAAGGGGATTTCTCCTTAAACTCAGCTGGAACAGCCTCAGCTTGAAAAACAGATGAAACAGCCCTGAGAATGTTGCCAGTATCTTTTTTGCAAGTAATGCCTGATTTCATAAGACTGGCCTTTTATTCCGTGCCCACAGAATACAACAGATGTCCCTTATTGCCTGTAGGGAGTGCATAATACTCCATTGAACACCAAGCAATCCTTGCTTTAAAATTTTTTCTTCAAGCACTGCCAACCAAGGCTTAATTTCTTCGAGGAAATGCCCCAGTGCTCAGGCTTGCCCAGACATCACACCGTATTAGTACACCTCTTTTCCTTCCACTCTCCTCTGTCTGCAATAGCAGTAACTTGAGGCATACATGCTCCGAGGCACTCTCTCCAGCCACTATAAAGTAACAATAATTCTGAAGAGAGTTATTCTCTGGCATTCAGAAAGATGGAAGGGACAAGCCACGGTGAGCCCTGAGCCTGAGGTATCCCTAAAAAAGACTAAGATTAGTCCTAAAAGTGTTTCTCATTTCTTTGCTCGGGCACTTCCCAACACACACATTGGCTATTTCACTTTTCCTCACTCTCATTTCCCAGTATTTACCAGGTCTCTCTTCCTGTGGCATAAGGACAGCATGCTTCTGTTTATTGCCCTTGGCTAAAACCTACAGGTAAATAGACAACTGGTCCCTCCAGTAAACAGAAGCGCATTCCTGGGCGGGTGAGCAGCCCGTCTCCTCCCCGGATACCCCGGCCCCACCCTCTGCGTGCAAGGGCACCGCACCTGAGCTAGGAGTCGCTCCACTTTGTCCTGCATCAGGGCATTCAGCTGATCCGAAGAAGAGGCGAGCAGCGGGTGGTAGGTGGCGGCGGCGGCGGCGGGAGCAACAGATATGTCCCCTTGGGCGGCCTCGATGGCCGAGACCCTGGCCTGAAGGTCACTGGTCTTCATCCCCAGATACGCGCAGCAGGCTATGGATAGCGCCGAGAGAAGACACGCGGCCAGCAGCGAGGCGGAGGGTGCAGTACTGCTGCCGGAATAGCAGCGCTGTCTTCCCAGGCAGCCGGCCGCCCCGTCGGCATCCTGACCTTTGGTGTCCGGGCTTTTCCCTACCATGCTTGGTCGGGGGCAGCAGCCACGGGTGGCGCCTTGCCTCCTCGGCTGGAGGACTAGCTCGCCAAGAAGGGTCCGCCACAAAAAAAATGTCACTAAGAACCAGAGCAAGATTAGAAATAGTATTCACACGCAGAAAACAAAGCCCAAACCAGATTGGCCACCCCGGCCCTGCCAGCGAACAGTGCGCGTTGAGAGCCAAAAGGTGGCGCGCAGCGCAGGCTTCAGGGCAAGGCTTCCCGGGGTACCCCGCAAGCAGCCATCCAAGCAGGCGCGGAAGGGCGCCCCGCGCAGCCCCAGGAGAGCGGGGACTTCGGCTCCGAGAGCCCGCCTTGACAGAGCACCCCGCGAGCGGCGCCTGCCACCCTTCCCGGGCGCCCGCTCGGGGTTGCTGCTGGCGCCCCGACGGCGCAGACCGACTTGTTGCTTCACTCGGGCGGCTTCTGCGCGCGCTCGACGCGGCCCCTCGACCGGCCCCGGTCACACTCCAGCAGCACCCCCGAGCCGAGGGCGAGGGACCCCCGCGGCGGCGGCGGCGGCGGCTCTCTTCCTCTTCCCCGGAGCGTGTTCGCAGGCTCCTGCCTGCGTAGGCGCCTCCAGTAGCGCTTGTCAGCAACAGTAGCGGCGGCGGCGGCGGCGGCTACTCTCAAGCCTCCTGTTCTCTTCGCAGGACTGTACACGGCGCACGCCGTCTTCCAGCCGCCTGCCAGAACCTCGGGAGTTCTCATTAGCATAATTTATTCACCTAGAGCGAGGGGCGGGGCGATCGGGGAAGGCTGGGGACCCGGCTATTTGCATAATATATGCAAAGCTTCGGACCAGCTCGCGCGCCCCGCCAGCCTGCAGCCGCAGCCGCGCAACGTTCCGTTCCTGCAGGGACCCGGCGGGACCCCCGCTGCCGATGGCACTAACAAGGTTATCTTGTATCCGTCTGCTTTGAGGTGGGACTTTCCGTCCGGTACCTGCCCTTAGCTGGGAGAATACCCTACGATGCTATATACCCTACCTTTAGCTGGGAGTAAGTGGCATTGAACTCAGCGGGATTTATTTGGAGAGGGCAGGCAGAAGTGGAAGGGAGAGGGTCCGGTCCACGTTATGCCAGACATGATCTGGGAGGGAGGTAGACTGCTAGTTCCTTTAAAGTAGGGGGAAGAACAGATAGAAGCCCGAAAGCATGAGGCTTGGAGATGGAGTCTGTGTGGGAGAAATTGCAATCCTAGTCATGTCCACAGGTTGGCTCTATATTTTGGGCAAATGGCATGGGACCTTCCACCTCACTCCCACACGTAGCAAAGAAATATCCCCAAAACCAGGCGCATTTCTTCCAGGGCATGCAGTGGCCAGGTGTAATCTTCTCCCACCCGTCTCCTTGGACCATCTGCCCTGCCCTCAGTGCCAGCAGCCCTAACTGGCTGACTTCTAGGTTACTGAAGGCTTTTTACGCTTACCTGGGATAAACCCCATTGAAGTCATCCATAGGATTGAATGCATTTTTAATTTCCAAGAGGATGGGGGACTTATCGTTGCCTAGATGCCCCATGCTTTGTCTTTCCCCTTTGCCTGGGAGAACTACATGTTCCCTTTTTTATTTATCTTTCTTCCAAGGAATCCAGGACAATTTACATCACCTGCAACTGCTTCTTCCACCACCCTGCACATCTGTTCTTTCAGAGTGAGCACCAGCCTCATGAGAACCAGTAGAATAAGAGCTTGTGACTGGCCCAAGATCACAGAAGAAGCGTCATTGCTGAGCTGCGCTTTCTGAATCCATACCTAGGTTTCTCCAAGCCTAGTAAAATATTCCAGCCAACAACTCTTTATGATGAGGGAATGGTAGACCTCATATTTCCCAAAAGAACTTTTCTACACAAATGGGAAAAGCGGGATAGCATGCTCTGTTTTAATTTTCACATCTGATACCTCCAATTTGCCATGTTCACACCAGCCAGCATAATAAGACCTTCTTCTGTCTACACATGCATAGGATTGCTTCCTAAATTGCTGAAATGAATGTAAGGAAGGAAGGAATCTTCAGTGCCCATCTTCAGCTGGTGCAGAATACAGCTGCCCTACATATTGGGGCGGGGGGTGGCATCTGGACCACATGACTATTCTGTCAGCTATGCGGGTATCAGTGTGTTTCCAAGAGAATTCAAAGTTTTGGTATTAACCTCCAAAACACTAACAGTGCTTAAGAATGTCTGTGATGACAGATCCAAATACTCTGCAGCTGGCCACATGTTCCATGGTGTACAGCTAAAGCCCCCAAAGTCTGCCCGCTCATGTTCCCCAGGCTACTTTCACCAGTAGACATATGAATAGGGCTTCAACAGTGCAGGTCAAACTGTGAGCTGGCTGGTATAGCTGAAGCCCTTCAAGTAACTTGGCCCAAGACGGTTTAAAATAGATAGCTTTTATTTGACTTTTTCTTAAGACAGATTTTTTTAAAGCAGCCATTGGATTTTAGATTATTTTTTCTACCATTGTCTACATATTTCTTTAAGTGTTGCATTTTTACAGGATGGTATGATTTCATTCTTAGCTGGTTTTATTTGTGGTTAATTTTGTATCCTTCGATTATAGGTTGTACATCAGGTTTATTTATTATTTATTTTATTTATTTATTTAAAGGTTTTTGTATGCCGTCCCCTTGCTATATAGCCTCGGGACGGCTCACAGAAATAAATAAATACAATACAAATACAATTAAAACCTGGAGACATCCTGGCTGCACAATTAAAACTTATAAATATTAAACATTGTTAAAATACTGTTTGAATAATAAGGTCTTAGCCTGGCGCCGAAAAACAAATAACAAAGTTTAGAAGTTGCCTGGAGAGAATTTTATTCTTAAAAGCAGCATACAACTATCTTAAGTAATAGCAAATGTAGCAAATAATCCAAGACAGCCAATCCAGATCATGGCATTAGACCACTTCCAGTTACAGGGATGAAGGGCATATTAGTCATTCATCTAGTCCAACCCTCAGAGGCAGATTACTTTTTCGTCCAGATGGCAGTGTGCCATTGTCAAACAGCAATAGACTACCATTCTGATCTAATTGCAGAGCAGGACATTCAGTAAGGTCAATAAAAACACACCACTGGTGTTTTCTGTCCTAGCAGTTGTTTCAGTAGCAGCATCAGGGGCTGGCATGGGCTGAGTTAGCAGCCAACATACATAGCTGCTTAACATCAGCTTAGGTCCTATGCAAAAGCACTGCAACTACCCACTGATCACATCAATGTTCAGGGCCTGATTGCTGGGATGGTAGTATTGGTGGCAAGTGAGTGAACCGGAGAGAGACTGCTAATATGGGAGGTATATCATTTTTTAATGGGTGGATCAGCAAAGATACTGTACAGATTGAACAAGTAGAAGAATGCAACTTAGACTAGTCACAGGCTGGGTTCAGACAACACAACAAGCCCGTGTGTGTGTGTGTGTGTTTTTTTTTTTTACCATAGTTAGTCCATCATGTTGCCCATTGTGGTATTTCACCAAAGTAACTTTGGTCTTTAGAAAGCATAAGAGGCAATGGTTTGTTTTATGCTTTCCCCATACCACCTTGGCTTGTTGTGTTGCCAGAACCCAGAATCAAGCTTTCCACAGCCCTGTTATGCAGCTACCACAAATTCCCTGGAAAAGGTGACAACTGTAGGAGTTGCTCCAACCATTCAGTTTCTATGTGTGGACCAAAGAGGAAGAGGCAGATGAGAAAGGCAAGAAGGAATGCACTTTGGGATTCAATTTCAAGCACAGTGGCTGACACATGCCAACAGCAGGAGGACTGAGTGGGAGGACGGAAACCACCATAACATTGAAAGCACAATGGTACTTGGCTTCGACCTGGTTCGGTTTAGGATTACCGCCATAGTCCCAATGCACTGTCCGTGGAGTTTAGCAGCATTAGGACGACCGTGTTCTTTAGATATACACAGAACTGCTTTGTGTGGTAAAGATGAGAGGATTCATCTTTGCACACTTTCTAAAGATCTCTGGTGGCCACTAAAGAGGAAGATCTATTGATAAATCCTTGTGCCTAATATTTAATGATACTTTTTGATACTGGAGTGGAACATTGCAGCCACTTTTGATTTGTAAACCAGCCTCGTTGGCTACAGCTGGGTCAGTGCAAGCTATCCCATGTGGCACTGCATTTGCTCACATCTGGTATGTCAGCTACAGATTGTGATAAGACTATAATGAACAACAAAGTAAAATAGGATACTGTAGTTTTATCAGAAAATCAAAGAGAATAAACACAAAAAGAGCTTTCTAACAGTTATTTATAGCTCATTAGTGCTTCTTTTCTATATTTACCACAAAAAATTACTGTGCAAGAACTGCGGAGAAACAGTTTTGTAGCAAATAGAAAAAAATGGCACATTTTGAAAACTGACTGCTCTTACTTTTTGGAAGAGGGAGTCATGCTGAACAGAATTTTTGCATGCATCATGTGCAGCAGATTCTAAATACAGAAGTTTGGCTCAGCATAGGATTTTGGCTCTAAATTCGGTACCTTAGGAGACTTGCAGTTTTACATGGCTAGCCAAAGCCAGGTGTCTTAATCAGAAAGCAACTTGCTTACAAGTACTTCATGAGATTCCACAGGAATTTTTTTTCCTCATGGAGTCAAGCAGAAGCATTGCTTGTAAACACTCAGGGAATCGTGTTCAGTGACAATAGCCTGTCATTGAACATGGGCAATATTCAACAGACTAGATCATGCCATAAGCCTAGACTGAATAAAAATGGTTTTTAATTTAAAAATATAGATTGTTATTTAAATCAGATTTTTAATAAAATGCTTTTTAAAGGAAAAAATCTATCTAAATAATTTTCTGCTTAAGATATATTATAGTCCAAAGGTTATCCATCATGAAATAAGGATTAGTTTTTTAATTATGCACCATGTGACTATATATTCATACAATGTTTAAATTTTGGTAAATGAACTTCATTCATCCATTCACAATGTCATGCTCTTTCACAGGTTTTT